ATATATATATAAATGAATTGCTTCTATTTTGTCTTTTGTTTTTATTTTGAAGGATTTTGTTTACCTTAAATTTTCATTCTTCTATTTTTTTCTTTTTATCACTTTAATGCAATTTTCATAAACTGCTGCATCGTATAAATATTGACGAAAGTTTTTTCAGTTTATTTTGAGTTTGATATGAAGCTAGTTAATATTTATGTTTTGGTATAGAAAATGCATTAAAAAAGAAACTTAGTTGTTGTCCAATCCTAAAACATTAAAAATTCAATGAGTGTAGCTTCTCTCTCAAGCTTAGAAGTCTCCTATTATATATCAAGTATATTTTTTACATCAAAATTTCTTATCTTTTACTCCCAAATTCGTAAATGACATTATATCTTTATTATTCTTAAATAATTTCACAAATTATGACATTTATAAATATTTTAAATACATATTGTTGATAATAAATGATCTTACAAATAGTGACATCTTCATGACTCATGTCAAGGAGTGTCTTCATAATGCCAAGACGCATCACCATTTCAAGAACTATTAATCTACCACTAGATACAACATTTTCATAACATCCAACGCATAGTGTCATCCAAATGTCAATACACAATCTTAGGAAAACATTCTAATGACCTAATGATACAATTTAGATGAAAATTTTGTAATTCATAATTTTGTTACCAATCTGAACATGATTAAAAGTTACATAAAAACAAAAATTATAAGTAGTTGAATATTATCGGTAGATTCTACCTCAATTAGTTAAATAAGAAGTGTGAATGTTATAAACAGTGGGCCTCTCCTAAATTAAAAAAGGATTAAATACCTATAGTTACATTTAAATTTTCAAATCATGAAAATATGCGATTAAAAGCACTTAATAATTTATCTTGCAAAACATATACATAATCTAGAACTTCCGATCTGTTGCAATATACAGATCCCGAGTTTCACAGAACTGGTGTACTAACACCTAAATCTGACATATACTCTTTTGGAATCATCATATTGCAACTCCTCACTGGTAGGACTCCATTTGGATTAGCTGGTGAAGTACGCAGAGCAGTTTCAAGTGGAAAATTGTCCTCAATTTTGGATTCTTCAGCTGGAGAGTGGCATTCCACTGTGGCAACACGATTGGTTGAACTGGGATTGCAATGCTGCCAACTGAATAGTAGAGATAGACCAGAGTTAACACCTTCTCTAGTGAGAGAATTGGAGCAGTTGCATGTTTCAGAAGAGAGACCTGTGCCATCTTTTTTCTTGTGTCCAATCTTTCAGGTAACTGTTCCTTTTTATTGTTATTTATACAACTAGGTTTAGTAGTAATATTAATGTAATGACTTTGAAATAAATTTTAGATATGGTAGACAGCTTATGTAAGGAGAGTTTCCTACGTAGTCTATTCTAAACATCTCCAGAAGCGCGTTGTTCCACTTGGGCTGCAAAACATAATAACCACCACCAATAAGAATTTGCAAAATAGTTTCCATTTAGAGCTTAGAAGATGCTTTGATGATTCATAATTAAGTAATATGGCAATAGTCCAATTTCAATGAAAAGGAAAGAAGTAACTAATCTGTGATTAATTTTTGCACCCTAACCTAACTTGTTACTTCAGTATCACAGCTAATACTAGCAGTAACAAATTTTTCTGCTTCCATATTCCAAGGATTAGGCTAGTTATTGGATTTATTGAAACCCGCGAGAGAGTGTATATATCCTGTTATAGCAAATTTAATAAACCATTCAATTATCCCATACTTTGTTGAATCCCTTGCCAATTGCAATTCATGTTAAAAGCATATAACTAGTGTAAAGTAGAATGGATAAATTTGGATATATCTGTAAACAATAGACACCAACCTGTTTGAGAAATCCAGCACCAAATGCTCGAGTAACCTTGAGAGAACCCTTTACACGGTCATTTACTACAGCACAAGGATCATCCGGATGCTCCTTTTTGATTCTCTGGACTTCCTGAAATAGAAACCAAACATTTCTCAATCAAGACATGCAACAAGACACAAACCTGATGAAAACAGCAATCAAGCTGTGACACAAACAACTTACTTCCTCAACACTGGTACTATGATCCTTAGTGAGCTGAATCGCACTCAAACTCGGAACCAAGTTGGAGGTGTCGACATCCCAAGATTCAAGATCATTCATTGTCTCCTCATTGATCCTCTCCAAGTCCTGTCTGATTTTCCCAAGCCAGTAATCAGGCTCAGCCTTCTGAGCCAACACGGCGCGACTATCCCCCACATTCATCACATAAACATCCTCCCCCTTCATCAACATCACAAGAACACACGAACCCATCAAAGCAAGTTCCGGATTCTCCATCACCATCTTATCAGCAACATCGAGATAAGACTCCTCAGTCTTCCTCAGAGCCCGAGACAGAGCCTCCAACACATCCCCATGATTAATAGAACTCGTTCCACCAGACCCAGATCGACTCAAACTCAATTGCTCCTTCAACCTCCGATCAAGCTCTAACCTTTCCCTATCCCATTCACACTTCCACCTCCGTTGATTCTCCTCCCATTTCTTCGCAGCACCTTTGAACTTGCTCCTCGAATTCCTACCCTTCTTAGTCCTATTGCTATTCTCTTGCTCAACACAGTGAGAACAAGCATCCACATCTGTAACATTAACATCTCCGATAAGTAGTAACATAATTATATTATAATGAAAATAGACAAATACATCTTCTCACTTTAATTAAATTACTAGTATATATTTAAAAAATATTATATTTTGTATCTCTAATTTTATATATTAAATTTATTTATGATTGTTTGACATTTATATTTTGTTATTTGTACACATATGATAATTATTATTTTTTTATAAAAAAGAAATTGCACCTACTTACGAAATGTCGTGGATCCGCCACTCTATATCAAGCATTAATTCATCGTAATTGACCAATCATTTCCTTAAAAAAAAAAAATAGTATTCATCTTAAGTGCCCCTAGAGTATTTGTGGTGCTTAATTTCGTTTGGAAGGGTAAAAGAAAACATAGAAATAAGAAACGAGGAGGTGCATGAAGTCCACGTGCAGGTGTTACAGGAAGTGGCACGTACATGATTAGGAGAATAAAAGTACGTAAGAGGGAGAGGAAGAGAGGGTGTGAAAAGGAAGAGAAAGGATGGATCAGGATCTGATATCAGATAGCATAGTGGCGCCGAATCACAGCCCCGTCTTCGGCTACGTCGTGCTTTACGTCAGAGACGTTGCCGCCTCCGTCGCTTTCTACACCAAAGCCTTCGGCTACGCTGTTCGTCGCTTAGACGAATCTCACAGGTTATTACATACAATACATAACTTCGCACTTATAAGGCAGCGTTTGTTTCTTTATTTACTTTGAATCGTTATGTTAGTTAGATGGGGAGAGTTGGAAACGGGGAACACGACGATCGCCTTCACGCCGATGCACCAGCACGAGACCGATGATCTGACGGGTGCGGTCCGCAATCCTGGATCTAGTAAAGAAAGACCACCCATCGAGGTCTGTTTTGTTTATTCCGACGTTGATGCTGCATACAAGGTAACATAACATAACATATATTATAATTAATGTATCATAGTATATATGTGTGTTGGTCTTGTTTTCTTGATGCGTTTAATGGATCAGCGTGCGGTGGAGAATGGAGCGGTGGCGGTGAGCGAGCCACAGCTAAAGGAGTGGGGGCAGAAGGTTGGGTACGTCAGAGATATTGACGGCAACGTCGTCAGAATGGGAAGCCATGTCAAGCCACACAAATAAGGGCAGTTATATACATATGTACGTAACGTGGAAAGGAAATGATGTTTTTACGTTAATGTTTTGTTTTTAGTTTAGGAATTAATAAACTAGAACTATAACCACTGTGTGAGATGCGTATTTACGGTCACTAGAGAATAAAATTATCAACTGCACGCTATACAATGAATCACTTTTTTTTTTTAATCTCAGACTGCCACCCACTTCCTTGTAAATAGTTTAACTAGAGAAATTTTATGCATGTCATTTTTGTATACAATGTTTCTGTATAAGAGGATTGAGATGGATATGCCATGGAAAGAAATAAAGAGAAAAAAATAAATGGATGCATGAATAACATTTCTCTTTTAACTTGCGCGATCGTGACTGTCGTGTCTGCACATATTATTTATGGCTATTCATCAAGGTTTGCGATCTCAAATTTATCTCCCTCGCTGTAGGTTCCTCTTTTTTCCTACTTTGTTTTTTGCCTTCACGTTATTTCTTTATTTGAATCCCCAAAAAGCACAAGAAAAACTAATAATACCTCCCTTGCAAGAAAACAAACCCTTGGGTAGTGATAATCCTTATTAGTTTTATGATAAAACTTGGCTTGTGGTCCCCCCCCCCCAAAAAAAAAAATTGATTTTATTGTGTAGTTTGATGCGGATTGAGAATTGACATGTTTCTTAAATTATCAGAGAATGCTAATCATAAAATCCAAAATTAGGAATGTATGTAGATTTATAAATTAGTAATTGTCGAAATTAAAGAGTAAATAAAGTTATTTTTATTCGTTCATTTAGACTAAAAAAAAAAAAAGATCAACTCATGATACTATTTCAGATATTAATGTTTTACTTTCTTTAATTGCAATTAAAAATTCATGGCAAGTGATGCGGGATTGCTTTATAAAATCCACAATTTTGAATCCGTAAAACTATAATCATATTTGAATAAATTATTCCATAAAAACTTGTTAAGACAAAATAGCAAAACGTATTGAACTTAAAAACTAAATTTATCTTCCCTAATTTTTAGAGAATATAAATGAAAAGAAGTTTAATAAAAGACAAACACACAAGTAGATTCTGCCTTATTGAAAAACTCGAATCATTTTACTGCTTCACTTAGAATTTCTTCCGCTTGTGCAAGTTAAATAACGCTTGAACACAAATGTATAGCTAACTAGATAGTGATAGTGATTCCTTGGAAAACTTAACACTATCCTTGGTCTCTAGATAGGGATCTGCTGCAATGTTGCTATTTGCTACTCATCAGGCTTAATTATATAGACTAAAGTTAAGGCAAGTTTCACCCTTTCAATTCGGTACTCATGAATAAGCAATCAAACAAATTTGACGTTTATAGTGTGGTGGAAAAAATAATTCAATCAATCGGAACTCGACTTCTTGAGAGCTAGAACTGGCCAGTGCAAACTCCGCAATCATAATACGACCAAACATGGTACCAAAACTCAAATATAAACCTTTTTTTAGATAAGAAACCCAAATATAAACTTATGCGAATGAACAAAGTAAATTTCCAATAAAGTAGTCAAAAGACCGGCCAAAACACTTAGAATACAGATTGTTTTCCAAGTTATGCCAAATGGCCATGCAGAGAACATGGAACTGAAGAAAGAAGGAATGTGGACAACTTCCAATGCCATTCTTATACGGTCAACAGAACCGGTGAACCAATCCATTACACATTATATGTCCTCCAGTTCACAAAAGCACTATGCGGTGTACGTGTAGGCGACAAATCACAACATTTCTTGTGACTTTCTTACACATCGGCTAACCTTTTTCTTGAAATCGTCTCTCCTATCTCTCCACTCCTTCTGCAATACGAGATCATACAGATCAGGTCTAAGAACAATCTCAAAATAACTTTCAGACTATCTATCAAAGATTACATACAAAAATACCAAAAATAAAATGAACAACTTTGTAGCCCCATTCAAAGCATTTCAACATTCAAAGATATAAGCAATGGCAATGTGAAATTCCCATAACAAAAAAATTAAATAATCATACATTATACACATACATGCTAGCTTTTATAGAGTCAAAGAGGATATCAAGAAAGCCATCAGGATAAATACAAAACCAAGTTTGAGAATTGCTTGAAGATGGCATCCCATAAAATATTGCTTTCAGCAGGTACTAATTATTAACATGGAAAACATAACATTGACATACCACATTATAAAAAATATTCTCATATTTTCTTAGCTTCTGTACTTAGACCAAGGCACTAAAAGAGATGGCTACCCTGTTAAACCTTAATATTTAGCCACTGCATTTAGTAAATTGTGGAAATTGGAGACAATGCCTCGTCACAAGTTACGTAGTCTAAATATCAGAAGTCCATCATACAAATTACAAAACAAAGGAGAAATAAAGGTGGTGCAAACTATGGAAATAGAATTCAAGCAGGGTGGATGAAATGAAGAAACAACTCAAGTGTTGTGTGACATACAACATATAAGACCTAGATGCTGTATGAAACTAAGTGTTAGACGGTAAAAATTCAACAAGAGAATAAACTCACAATGTAGCAAAGATGAGAATGTTGCTATGGATAAATGAACGTACAACACGAGATTGAATTAGGAATGAATGCATAAAAAAAATGGAATTAAACTTTCTGTAGAAACTGTGGAAGAATCTCGCCATAGGCTGTCTGAACATGTGTGTAGAAGACAAATAGAAGCCCCAATTAGGAGAGTTGATCATATGAAAGTTAACCCTATTGCTAGAGATAGACAGATAGTTAGAAAAGGCTTGGTTGTGTTGTTATTTAGTAACTTGTGGAAGTCATTCATACTAAAAGAGAAGAAACTCTTTTGTTCACTTCCACTTATTATTGGAGAAGTACAATACGAAACATATAGACTTAGTAACTCACCACTTACACCAACTAGGCAACTAGCAATCAAGCTAAAGTACCTAGGAGAATATACATTAACACTTGACGAGAAGTTGAGTATTTACTGAAATAATTAGAGCACATACGTGATAAAAACAAACTAAGTGCAACTGGTTTACAGTTCATAAGATAGAAATAATTTCTATAAAAGACAATCCATTATACTATCAAGTTAATAACAATTCTACGGCTAGAACTGTCAAAGGCAACTCATGACCCAATCCAACACACCACAGGTTTAGGCTGGATTTGGTTAAAAAACCCAGCTCACCTCAATTTAGTAAACATTGGCCCAAATCACTTTGAACACGAGTCACCAGGTTGAAATCATGATGAGACGGGCTAGCTCACAAGGTCAGAAGTTAACAAACACAGAATCGCTTGCCACATTACTAAAATAAAGGTCACGCTCTCTCCTCTCAAATTAACTCTCTTGCTCATTCAACACAAGTTGCACACAAACACCAACTAAAAGAGAGTTAGGGTTCATTCAATCATTCTCCACATCTCCTTCATGATTTACTGTTTCACCGCTTTGTGCACACCAGCACCACACAAACCAATTCTTCACTGCTGCAGCACAACTTCAGCAGCACCGCCATTCATGATGAGCAAGCTTGGCTTGCAGTGACCAGTGATCCTTTTTATCTCAAGTCCTTTAAAAGAGAGAGAGAGAGAGAGATTCAACCAATTTAACCCACCAAGAGTTGGCTCACTTTTTAGACCAACATGTGATGAACCAACTCAGGTGAGTTAGGTTGTCTCACTTTGAAAACTCTATTTGTAGCATCTAACAATATCATGTTTTCATTTTCTTTTCTAAGATACAAATAAGTATCCTATGGGAGCAAAAACAGGTAGGAGACGGGTAGGTTGCAGTAGAACAATCAAGTAAATACGAAACAATGATCAAACTTACTGCAGCTTCAACATTTGCGGGAGATTCATCATTAGGGCTGGAAAGCATCGATATGATACTCAATACTATACTCTCTACCTGCAAGATAACATATATATTAATATATTAACACGTGATTTAAAAAACTTATAACTTCACGAGTGACAAGTATATAAAATTGCTAGTGGTGGACAAAATGCTATATACCATTCACAAAAAGGACATCCAGTGAAGTTATTAATGGCAAACCAATGTTAAAATTGTTAACACTCAGAAATTAATTTTGCGACATTAAACATTTGAGGTCTTTACAACATTTAATTATTTCTGTTTGATATATTAAGCTGAAAAGCTCAATTCTACCTTAGTATTTCACTTGAGAGTTCTTCAAGCCATAACAAACTTGAAAACTCAAACAACTACTGAGCCTTTTACTCTGCCCATGCCTATATTCAGCAGAGACTAATGAGAAACATGAAAGATATAATTCATACATGAGAGTTCAAGCTTGCAAATTAAACTCGTCATATCTGGTAGCCTAGTAATATTATATTTTTTACTGAAGTGCATAATATCAATATGATAGAACTGGATAGGAAGAAAAATAAAAAATAAAAATATATACAAATCAATCCACCCACACTTTGTAGCTTAGTAGAGATGGAATCATAAACTGGAACGGATAATAAACAAATTACTGAAAAAAGAAACTATAACCTAGGTATTCAAAAGCCCTGCACTCTCCCACTGAAATTCTGATTCAAATCTTACGTACCAACTAACTCTCCCCCTTTCCTACTTATTTCAGCTTTCTTCTTGTTAAAAATTACTGTCTACTGGACAGTTACAAGTTACAACTCCCTCTCTTCCCCATTTATTCCTACACTCTTCATTACAACTATTTGCACACTAACAGTTACTGCTATTAATAAATCCTTATGACCCTAGTATTCTTTTACCACTCTTACTCTTCTTGTTATAAACATTCTTAATGGGTGGTTGGTTTACTAATAAAACTCCCCTCCCCACAAATAAAAAAAAATCCACCTTGTCCTCAAATTGGAAATAAGGGAAGTTGTCCTAAACAGCAGCAGCTGCTCCCACGAGTTAGAAGGCCATGACATGCAATTAACATTTGGTCAACCCCTTCTAAACTCTCACAAATATCCAAAACAACTGATGTCAGAACCTGTAACTCCAGCTCTTCGGTCAGCATGGAGGTTAGGGGTTGGGAATAGCTTTGTGGCAAGAAAGCCTCCTTCAATAGACACACATAGAACAAAGGGTGAATTTTGCTCTCTGCTGATTCAATCTATAAGCAACCAGTGCAATCATACTGGAAATCTGAAATGGGCCACCAAGAGGAGGGCATAATTTCTCATTAGATCACTTAGCCAAAGTTTAAGTTTATATGGCTGTAACTTCAGAAAAAACCAATCTCCTCCCAAAACTGAGCTTCACACTTATGTGTTTTAGCTTGAGTTCACATAAATCTTTAGCCTTTAGCAAATTGGTCCTCGACTCAGCCAGCATTTCATCTCGCTGACAGGTTAATTTATTGACCTCCTCTACTGCTGAAGGAGTTGTAGCTCCCTTTTAAAAGATAGGAGAATCCTAAACATATAAAGCCTTAAGTGGGGTCAGCTTAGTAGAACTACTATAATTTGTATTATACCAAAATTTAGCCCAACTTAACCACTTTGGCTATTGTTTAGGTTCCATCCTTGTCACAAATGAGATAAGTCTCCAAATATTATTAACCACTTTGGTCTAACCATCTGATTGTGGATGACATACCAAACTAAATTTGAGTTGAGTGTCCGCTAACTAAAGGAGGGCAGTACAAAAATGGCTGAGGAAATTTCATTCCCATAACAAAAGAAGTTTGAAAACCATGCAATCTAACCATTCAATTAAGTTAGGCTTCCACTACATCTTTGGTAGGAAAAATTATGGCTCAAAGGTATGAACTGAACATGCTTATAGTGGCAAGGTCTCATAGTAATTGTACTGACAAGTGTGACATGCTACAACAAATTTCTGAATACCTTCATTCCATCCAGATAAACCAAGTGTATGAAAGAAACCTGATTGTCCTCCATTTGTTGAGTTATGGAATTAAGACAAACGAACATGGATACAAGGAGAACTTCTAGGGAAAAACAACCTTCCCTGGAATAATAATTGATTACCTTGCAATTCATATGCAGGATGAACTTCAAGATTTAACAGTAGTTCTTGGATGCTGCTGTGAAGCTTTATATATGCCTAGAATTTTCCCAAACAATCCTCTAGGTCTTTATTTACATTTTTTAAATTGCAGCAGATTACATTTCACTTGAATGAGCATATGAGGCTTTATTTTTTTTTCCTCCATCAACCTTTGTTTATTTAAAAAATTTAAACCTTGTTGGTTTGTCAGAATAATGAAATGTCATCCTCCCATCAGATAATGCCAACATTTTTGAACTGCCGTGACAATGGCCATCAACTCTTGCTCATACACTTACTTTGTTTGGGCTCTTTCTCACAACCCCAGATTGAAAATAGCAATTGCCCATCCTTCCCTGCAGCAAAAATGGTCTGAAACCAATGCTGGAAGCATCAGTGTCTAACACAAACATTTAGGGAAACTTCAAGATTGTTAAAATGGTCATGGCAATTCTTAATGCATCAGAAACACTGTTTTTCCCCATTCAAAATCATTTTTCTTCAATAACTGTTTTTGGTCCACTTCCCATAGTGTTGCACAAAACAACAATACCATCATGTAATGGCAATTTTTTATGATCTATCAAATACACTATGTTTCAGTCCCCCATTGATAATCATTTTTCTTCGATAACCATGTTTTTGGCCATCTTCACACAGATCCACACAAAACAGTATTAGCATCCTGTAAGTCTCAAACAACCTGTAAGCCCCTTCACATCCTTTGGTGTTGGCCATAAACACATAGCTTATACTCTTTATGGATCAGCTTCCACCCCCTTAGTAGAGAGAATATGGCGTAGATAATCAACGCTGGATCAGAATGTCATTTCCATTTGTTAATAAACAAGGAATCAGTGTGCAGTACCCCTAAGACTGCTCATAGGTGTAGCAAGTGCTCCTCACTTTCACTATATCTTATAATATATCATCAAGGAACACCACAAGGCATAACTAAAAATTCATAATGCCCTATGTGTGTCCTAAATCCTTTTTTTTTGTCTTCTTCCTTCATTGTTCATTCTTATCTAACTAAATTTCAAATCCAACTTGGGAAAAATCCTTGCACCTTCTAACTCATCCAATAATTTGTTAATCACAAGAATAAGGAACTGGTTAGGAATTGTAATTTTGTTTAATGCCCCATAGTCCATACAAAGATGATCCTAATAGTACTTTCTTAGAGTATCTCCTAGTTGCGCTTACAGTATCTTCAAGTTGCACTTTATTTGACAATTAAGTTAAAGGTATTTATATTATCTCCCTCTTTTTTCAAAATGGGAAGAGAGGAGAGTGAAAAGTTGGAAGGGAAGATGCATATTATGAGGAGCTCCATTTTACTACAACTAATTAAACAGCTTGCTTTTAAATGCAATGTCAATGATGCAGTAACACATTGAGACGTAAACTCTCCAATTTCCAGGAATAGGCATAACGTGCACCTGGCAAAACCTCAAGGATTAAAACAGAACAGCAATTGCATCATAGCAGCTTCTGGAAAGTATTGGGCACTTTAATTTTAATATTTTAACTTGACTATTAAACAAGAGCATTCTGGATTTGAATGTATTTGAGATAAACTGATCACAAATTTCCAACCCTAAGTTGATTCTTAGTCACCAATATCCAAGTCAAGCCATAGGTGTGATAATGAAGAGTAATTTATATTTTCCACGTACTGTATGAACAGGTGTCCAGCGCTCACTTGCAAGCTCATAACCATTTGGATCCTCACCAGGAGGATGAAGAATTGATATGCAAACCCGGCCATCAGGATATACTGCAAATGGAACAGTATACATCACTTCCATGTAGTTCGAATCAAAGCAAAATCGAAAACAAAAACAAAAATACTAACCATTGGGGTGCCATATCTCTGAGGTGAATCTCACTGAAGGTGGACTATTTGGGTAATTGGATGGGAAACTCATGATAGCATTGAAAAATCCTCCCTCGCTTTAGGAAATTCAACCAATTGACAAACAAAACAGCAGATAAACGTCAGTAAAATTCCAACACTAACCAAAGGAAAAGCAAAGCGGTAACAACTTGGAACATTATCCGGTGCAATCAAACGAACCCAACCCAGATCACTCCCAATAGTAAACAGCATAAACAATAAACAAAACTCATCAAACCAAGCAATCAAGGAAACTGTTGATGTACCAAGAGAAAGCAATTAAAACCCATAACTCAACCCCAAAAGAAAGACAGAAGCAATCAAAACCCAAAACCCAAAAATCCAAACTTGGAATCATAAATCACCAAAAAAAAAAAAAATAGCGTGAGAAAGTTGGAAAAGCAGAAGCAGAATACAAAAGCCAAAAGGGGGGCTTACTAGAGAGTATCGGGTGGTCCAATTATGGTAACACTCCATTCAAAAATGTTGTTTTCATCTATCAAACCGGCGGAGAAGCCGTCGACGGGGTTTTTGCAAAGATCTGCGAGAAAATGAAAGGAAGCGCAATCAGAAAGTGGCGGACAATCGACAAACACGGCCCTATTTTAGAGTTGGAAATAGAAGAGGAAAGAGTACCTTTGAGCTGCTTTTGAAGGAGAAGGCTTGCCTGGGATGCCATGAAGAGATTGTTTTGAAAACCGACACAACCTCAAATTGGGATTATTTATAACTCAACATAAACATGGTTCGGTTCAGGTCATTTCAAGGATTACACAGCCATTACCATTCACCAACACTCAACCCGGCCCAAATACTTCCAACAATTACAATCTTTTTAGTTTTAAAAAAAAAAAATCTTCTTTTTTCTCTCCACACAAAAATTAGTTACACTTCTTTATGCCCCCTAGATTAATCAAAATTAAAATTTATTTTATTAATATATATTTATATATATTATTAAAATAAAATTTTAATTGTTCAAAGTTAATAAACAAGATAAAGTATATATATATAGGTAACATATTATTTTTTTTATAAAATTGAGATTATTTATTTATAATTTTTAAGAAAAACAATTACTTTCTTTAAATTCTGTCATTATTAGATGAAACATAACTAGATCTCATTATTTTTCTTCTATCAAACATGTTATTAAGAAAGGAACAAGGTAAAAACCGTTAGAGATTTATATTTTAGTTTGATTTGACTTAATTAAAAAATTGAGTCTAAAGTCATATTTAGTGCTCAAATTTTAAGTGCATGCTAGTGCATGCTTTTGTTGAGATTTTGATGAGCTCTATGTAACACGTTACTTTTAAAATCTTGAATAGATTTTTCTTTTAATGGAACAAAAATTTCACCCGTTACAGAGTCTTAAAATTTTGCTTTGTACATGCTCTTTGTACTTGTTCCCCTTCCACGAGTTGGTTATCTCATTCCCATGGTGTTGGATCTTCAAACATCAGCAAAGATGTGTTCGATTACGGTTACGTTTTCCGTAATCACTCTCCCACACCACTTTCTCCACCACAACACTGTCTTGGAACATTCTCATACAACATTTTCTTCACTGAGACACCATTGTCCATGGTAGCCTTCTTCCATTTTCATTTTCATTTTATTTTTTAATTTTCTAATTTTAGAGTTGTATGTCTCAAATTCTTTCCCAAATTGTAGTGTTTTTTTATTTATTTTATGAATTGATCACTTATATATTGTCAGTGTAAAATTTTTTACACTAACAACCAATTAGATCTTTTAATTGTGTCATGTCACTGTTAAAAGTAAATGTGTTTATAGTGACATGACACAATTAAAATATTTAATTAGTTGTCAATATAAAAAAAACTTTACACTGACAGTGTATAGGTGATTAACTCGTATTTTATTAGTTCAAATTTGTTTATGACAGTTTTAGGTTAACTTGTTTGTTGTGGCTGTGTTTTTTATTTTGATTTTTGTTGTTGATTCATGTATACAAGAAGACCAGTTGTTGTTATCGTACATTATTTAAAAAAAATTACTAAACTAAGATTTTTTAATTTACTTTTTTAAACACTTTTTTTAATTAAAAACTTGATTGAGTTTTGTATAAATGAATGAGTTTTTCAAGATGTATTTACACCACTCCTCTCTGATAATTTTTTTTAAGAATCAAATCATAACTTAAATCTCAAATAAGAACTTTGAAGTATTTTTAAGATGAATTTACACCACTTCTATTTGATTATAATTCAATACTTTTTTTATTTTTAAGTATTATATATTTGTGATTTTAGTCCTTAAATTTTAATTGAATAATTTTAATTTTTTAAAATATTACAATTATATGATTTTAGTTTTTTTTATATTAAAAATGTAATTATTTTTCTTAATTTAACATTCACGTGTGACATGAATGTATCAATATTTCTAATTAACTTATCTTATTTAATATATTTATATTTTTATAAAAATATGTTATAATTTATATTAATGAAATTATTAATTTATTTATAAATATATTAATAATATTATTGGTATTAATTTATCAATACTATACCGTAAATAAATATTATTTGGTAGATCATTTGATAATTTGTGTTTATTTAAAGAATAGTAAATGATAATTTTTAACAATGTCTTGATAATATTTTTTTAAAATAAAAATTACTTAATTTAATTTCATTCTTAACCAATATCTCCTACTTGATATTCATGGCCCTATAAATTTTTGTACTAATTTTCTCAAGTCGAGCTACTGCAAATATTTGTTAAAGTTCTTCATGCAAAAGGTACTTCAGTTTAAGTTTTATAATACTTTTTGCCAAACTTAATAGGATAAATACATGGGCGATGAAACCAATTTTTGCTTTTAGTAAAGTTGCTACTTTACATTAAAAAAAAACTCCTAAATATCATTATTTATACTGTCTGCAATCGACATTTCAAAATTAAGTAAGTATATTCTGATATATATAATCTGCATCTTTTTTAGAAATGACAAGTACCTTAAAGACAAGACAATCTGCTAAGATTTGGTAGCATAATTTTTTCTAGTACCGTAAATATCTATTGTCACACCACTTATACCAAAATTATTAATTAAACCACGACCAAGAACAATCTCACGCAACACTTATTAATTAGATTGAAACAAGACCAATCTCACGCTAATGTTCACTCGATGTGATATATAATTTGTAATTTGATACAATTAAATCAGTCACTTCAAAATTAACTATTTTGATAACGTATTCTCTAAGTTTTCAAGCCGATTTTTATTGAGCTGATTTCTACAGAGTCGATTTATTTTAGGTTGATCTCCTTAAACAGCCTCATGGATCATTAGAATTATATCTCTAGGTCAATCACACTAGTATAAAAATCTAACAGACTAGTCTTGACGCATTCACGCAATGTGTTCGAGATAAGGGTCATGAGAAGAAGTTAATACTACACATTAACATAACATTCACCACATTTCAAAGTTCTTTATGCAAAGCACTTCCGACAAAGTTCTATACTGGCAATACTTTTTGCCAAACTTAATAGTAGGTTGAATTCGTGGGCGAAGAAACCAAGTTTTTGCTTTCAGTAAAGTTGCTAGGCTGCACTAAAAAAGTTCCTGAGTATGTTGTTTATTTATTCTGTCCGCATCTTCATTTTGTAGTTTGTACACAAGTTTAATTTAACTAGCCGTTTGGCCACGCTCCCGAAATACGAAACATTACATTACTATTATATTCAACATTTAAAAATTAACCATGTATATTACAATATAGTATAATTTGTAACTTTTTCTTTTAAGGTAACAAGTTATCAACAATCCAGCTTGGACTGCAGCAGCAAAAACAATTAAAAGGGAACAAGAACAAATAACAATCTAATGCGATTATGCCTGTACATTCACTTCCTCAACGGTACATTAATAAACATAATCCAGTTAAATCCAACACTTCCAAATCATCTCTATATATTAATATTAATTACGTAGCTGATATTAATTCACAGTCATTTTAACTAAATCTATCGGTCAATACAAAAATAGCATGTCCTAGCTGGTAGCCCACACGAGCATTGGAAACGCGTGCATTGAACAGATTGCTGACTGCCGACGATGCCCCTTGCCTTTCCGCAAAGATCAAGAAATAAAAATGCCACTCAGCTTTCTTAATCTGATCTCATTAACTCGTAAAGCACGAATACCCCTATTTGTAAAACAAACTTGGTGTTCACTTTTTCAAATTTTCTCATTTATAGACAAATGATAAAATTACCGTCCTCTGAATACTTTATATATTTTCAACACGTAATATTTTTATCATATACAGTACTACTACTACGAGTAAAAGTAAAAAAGACCGAAATCACGTGTCATGCGCAGTACAGCACTCGATTATTATAAAGAACCGAATTCTCGAGATAGGAGCCAATGCAGCAGGATTGGTCCCTTTCTTTTCTAAATCGATAAACATCATTCACCATGCTCCGTGTTTGGTCACGTGTCAAAAACGTGATTTTTCACACGAAATTCCAAACAAAGAAAGACAGAACTAGGAATACGAAGAAGATAATTTAAAAATTACATTTTGGGTTTTCCAAGCTAGTGAGTCACACGACACAACACACAAAGACAGAACATGTTTTTTTTGTTTTTTTGGAGTGTGGAAGGAAAATGTTATTGGAAAGAGAAAAGGCGAGTCACTGAAGAATGACTCAGAACCCTAACAGAGTGCTCAATGGCAAAAGATAACCTTGAGCTCGCGGGGGGAGGAGCACTGGTGCATGAGCGAAGGCGTGTCATGGGCGAAGGTAAAGGTGGAGGGACACGCGTGCTTGAAGAAGGAGGAGTAAACAGAGCCCTTACACGTGTGGGCGCTGTTGAAGTGGTTCCGACAGCACAACTCGTCCGTGTGGAAGGCCTCGCAGCCGCTCTTGCACGCCACCACGGGGCCGTGGGCGGCGGGGACGCGGTGCTGGAGCACGGCCGGACACGTGGCGAGGAGGTCGGCGCGGCAGCCCACGACGGGGCACACGCCTCGGCCCTCGTGCGGAGTCACCGTCATGGGGACGTTGAAGCCGTCCACGAGGCTCACGCCGTAGGAGGCGAAGTCGCCGTTGCCGTGGTGGACCTCCAGCTGGGCCAGGGTGGCGGGGGCGGAGCCTCCGGCGCCGTTGCACTGGAGGCGGCCGCCGCAGTCGCCCGTGGCGCAGGAGAAGGCGGTGCCGGAGTAGGCGCAGGCGGTGCGGGCCCAGACGCGGCCGGACCAGTGGGCGTCCGGGACGGGGATGGAGAGGTGGGTGAGCGTGTGGAGGGTGAAGCCGCCGCCGCCCAGGTTGGGGTGGCCGGCGTTGGGCTGGATGGCCGGCCACACGGTGTAGTTGCAGTTGTTGACGAGGGTTAGGATAAGAGCACCGGTGGGTGAGGAGAGGGTGGTGACAGCCAGGATGAGGAATGAGTATAGGAAGAGTGAGTGAGCCATGGCTTGGGGTAGTACCTTAGTAGTAAAAGAATGAAACTGTGTTGTGTTGTGTTGTGTTGGGAAGGGTTTTATCTTAGATTTATTTATAGACAGTGTTTCAACTTTCAAGTGAGTTTCCAATAACAAAAGGTGGGAACGGGGTGTTTCGTTTTTTGTAGGACGGAGTTGCCCTTTGAAAGTGGAGTTTTGAATTTTGAAATTTTTGATGGTGAGGGGCAAAATTGGTATAGCGGGAAAAGTAGGGAACGTTTGGTTTTTCTGTGGTTTGGACAAATTCTGAAAAGATGGTCTGAAAGTCTGAATCCACAGACAAGACTCGGGGGGAGTGGGGATTCCGGATAAACTATTCCAGAGGGCCTTGAACCTTCCAGGGTTCACCCAAAGTCCCAAACACATTGGATAAAAATTTAAGTCCCAAACACTTTTTGATGATTAGGGTCTGTTTGATATCATGAAAATAACAAAGAAATTAAATGGGATAGAGGAAGAAAAAAAATTGTAAGAAATAAAAGTGTATGTGTGTGGTAGAGAAAGAAATCAGAACTAAGTAATATTTAATTGGTTGGATTTTTATATTCATCGTGTGTACTTACATTTGTGTGATTGAATCAATAAAATAAAATAATAATAAATTGTTTTAAGTTCTACTGACACAAAATCTTAGATTCATTACCTGTGTTAGATATTTAATTACATTAAATGTTCAAAGGAAAAACTTTATCTTACTGGAATAAATTTATCTTTTATAGAAAATACATGTATTATTAAAATTATATATATAAATATATTATACTGACATTCACCCCTTGTTTTGGCAAAAAATAATGGCAATTAGGATTGCCATATACAAAACGGAGCCACGTCATTGCCATTGTCGCGATATTGATTTTAAGGGTTTACTTACTTCTTTATCGTTGATGATATATATATTCCTTTATCTTGAACTTAGTTCATGACAAACAAGGTGGTGGAGTATCTTTATATTGGTGAGATATTATTCGTTTTAGGTCTAAACTTTTAGGATTTTCTTACAAAGCTCACTCACGCTCAGAGTGCTTGCACTGTCGCTCCATCATGAGGGCGGGACACGGTTTTGGTGAGATATTATCCGCTTTTGGACCAAGTCCTCACGGTTTTGCTTTTGGACATCACCCAAAAGACTTCTCTTCCAATGAAGACAAGTGTGTGTATATAAACCTATGACCATCCTCTTGTTTAAACGATGTGGGACTTTGATTGCATCCTAACAGTAATGTCAATTAGGATGGTCATATACACAAGGGAGCAACGTCATTGCCATTATTGCACTATTGTTTTCGAGTGTTCACTTACTTTTTCCTTGTTCATGATGAAATATGCCTTTGTTTTTTTATTTTTACTTTTATGACAATCCTAATATTTATCACATAATTCAAACTTATTTATAATATATATAAGACTATTTGTAACTTCTTTCTTATTTCTCAACATTCTTGTATTTGGGTTTGACACCCCTAGTGCCTCCTTAATACATTTCTTTTAGCTGATAAAAAAAACTATTAAATTATGACATATAAATATATTTATCAAGTTGTAAAGACTTATTTTTAATATTTTATATTTAAAGAGTTGTACTGCTGTTAGTTATACTAGTAGTTGTTCTTTTGTATATTTATTTTTAAGGACATTTAAAAAAAGTTGTTAAAACGTGTAATATTAATTTAAGATTAATAATATCTAAAAAAAAGTAGAAACTATAAAAGGTAGTTATTAAAATATATTCTCTTTAGAGGGTCGAGGCACTTCGTGCTTCTAATAATTATACACACATAACATATTATAAGAAGGTTGCATATAGTTATTTAGAGAAGATATATATTTTTTTTTACATTTGAGGGGTATAATGGTCTACTAAAAATGGAGACCAAAAACGGTTACATGTCTCGGTATCCCCTTTATAATATGTATAGATGTATAGATTAGTAAGATAAAAGGCACTTTGTATCTATGATAGAAATTAAATTTTTTTAACCATTAATTAATGAACAATTTTTCTTAGTTTTATATTTTCTTTAAAGTAGTTAACTAAAGGGTAGAATTGGAAAATAAGTATAAACTTATATAATAACTAATACATGAAATATTTTTATATTTTAATTGTGTTTATTTTATCTCTCATTATTTATTAACATTTTAGTCAAATATAAGTTAAAAATAGGAATAAAAATAAAATCATTTAATTAAATAATATTTATTACAATCAACTAGGTCACCACATTTATTATAGTTCAATTATTATGTAGTGGAAAATAGTAAATAACAAATATATGGTGTATTTAGATGAAGAATTTTACAAATTCAAGGATTTTGAGATTTTTGACATTTGAATTACTTTGATTTTAATTTTTATCATTCTTAAAATATTTTATTTGAATAAGACAATTCAAAATTCTTAAATTTAAAATTCTTGACTTGAATATGGTAATTTGATTTCACTGTGATAAAATTGATTTTAAAAATATTTTTATATGTTGAGATTTTTAAATTAAATTTTATAAAAATAAATATTAGCTAAATTATAAATATTTAATAATTTTTAAAGTTAATATTATAAACTATTTAATGAATTTAAAAAATTTTAATTATTCAATAATTAAAAATACGAAGAGAGTAGAGATGAGATAACATATATAAGTGAAATTAAAAAATTATGAGAAATTAAAAAATTTTACTTTTTTTAAAAAATTTGAAATTATATTATTTTAAAAAATTTTACAAATAATTAATTTCAATTTATTTATAAATTATCCATTAAAACAACATATTTCACCTCAAGACATTTGGAATTCTTTAAACAAATAAGCACATTTTAAGATTATTATGCAACAATTATGTAAGCAATCATTTAAGTTATATCCATACAAGGTAGAAAATAAACAATTGAAAATAAAATGCTCATGAGCCATATACATATAATGTACAAATAAAGAAAAAAAGATTTTGATTTAGAGAATTTCTCTCTAACCACTCTAAAATTTTCTGAAAACTCGAGTTATAAATTTACTTATAAAGAAAATCCTTATATTTTTTTTTCTGAGTTAACCTAACTTATTTCCGGTTCAACTAACCTAAAAACCAACTTGACCCTTCAAAGTCCCTTGACTCCTAAGATCCTAAACAAAGTTACCCATAACAATACTCATACAATAAAACTATTACATCACAAAATCAATAGTGTTACAATATAGAATATAACTTTTAAATCAAACTAATTAAATGGTGAAATAAGTAAATAGATGTGATAAAAATTAGATAATTTTTTACTTTTCAAATTCATTCAATCCAACTAAAAATATCTACTCTATTTCACAAGTAAAGAAATATAACATTAATCAATACAAGCATATATAGATACTTTTGTTTTAAAAACAAATTAACAATAAGAAAAATTAATAACAAAATTTAGTTAACATGTATATTAATTAAATTACCTTGAATCAAAATTATTTTTAGATCTAATTTTTAATATTCTTTTATCAACAAAAATTACAACCATAACGATTAATTTTAATTTTTAATGACAACTACAAAGCTCAAACTTAAAATTTACGTAGATTTTTTTATTACCAAGTCAAATATAGTCAAAGAATTATATTAAAATTTCATGAAGGTGGTTCTAAGTTATTATTAATTGCATTGAAGTGAATGGATGTTGAGGAGTTATTGAAGATAATCCCAACTCTTATTTTATTTATTTATTGTTTATTTATATAATTTTAAACGTATAAATGATATTAAATATTAATCATAAAAAATGTTAATGTTTAATATCATTTATATGTTCAAAATTATAAAAAAAAAATTAATAAGAAATTAAGAGAGAAAAAATGGAGAAGATGTAATATGATTGCAAACATATATACATTTATCGACGCGTGAAAAACCATTTCCCTAATAACACGTGAGAAACATGGTAGGAATCACTGTGACCTGTTTATTTTAGCGCATGATTCCATCAAGAGTTTAAAAAAATGAATATAGAAAATTATAAGAGGTAAGAAAGATAAATTAACATTTAAACTAATTTCATTACTTTTATCCTTCTGATTTTTACTAATAAAAAAGACAACTTGTTGGTTATTTACTATTATTTTTATCTTACCTGAAATAATTTTGTTTATTGTAAATTTAAACCAAGCATAGTGTATACTGTGAAAACTAATTTTACCCAATGTATTTTGATAATTCACGTTAAATTAAAATTATATTTGTCGAGATACGAAAACGATGCACATGCTTGGTCGTAATTTGGTGTGAGTCGGTCACGACAAAAACGTGTGTGCAATGTGCAAGATTTCAAGAGGATGGATAAAAAGCTCTTTTTACGAGGTCCTTGTCGGTCAACATATTTTTTTAAAAGAAAAAAATTGCAATATCCAATTTTAAATATATTCAAGATCTGAGAATGTAATTCAAATTTAATAACTATTAATTAATTAATCTCTATAGTACTGAAGAAAATTTTGATTTTTGTAAAAAATATATATTTGATTTGATGACCTTATGCTCAATCTCATTAATCATTATTGATGACAGTAATTTTTTAAAAATAACATTTATATACAAATTAAATAGGTCAACCTAATAGTAAGAAATTAGAGTTTTTTTTAAATAATATTTATATATAAATTAAATAGGTCAACTTAATAGTAAGAAATTATAATATATATATATATATATATATGTATATATATATATATGTGTGTGTGTTAACTTTTATTTTTACATATTAAAAAATATACTTATATAAGTTAAATAACTTTTTTATCTTATAAAAGAAGAGGTTTTACTTTTAGTTTTTAAATAAAAAACAATTTTGTCCTGATAACTCATTTTACTTAATTTTGATTCATGTCGTTATAAATGTAACAAAAGAAACTAGAACTATCCTTTAAATAAAAATTGACTAAATTAAGAAAATTAAAAAATAACTAAAAGTCTAAAACAAAGAAAATAAAATATTAAAAATATCATTATATAAAATGAAAAAACTAAAATATTATGTTTATAAATAATATTATATTTAAATATATAAATTATATTTTAGATTTATAATAAAAAAATTATATAGTATTATAAAATTATTTTTATTTATTGATAATTTATTTTAATAATAATAATTTTAAATATATAAATAATTACAATAAATCAAAAATGGATTAGATATAGAATTAAACAAAATCTAAAATCTCTATCATCGAAAAAAATCCGAAACATACTCACATATATATATATATATAATATGTTTGTAACTCTTATAGTATTTGTTTAACATGATTTTAGAAAGACAGAAGTATGTGAGAAAGAAGCAAGAGAGAAAATGAATTTTCTCAAAAAAGAGAGAAGAATAGTTTAGTGAGACACACTATAAAAAAAAAACTAAACCTAAACCCTAAAAAAACTCACATGTGCCACGAGTTTGTGGGAGAATAAAGTAAAAACTTATTGTAAGACTCACTGTAAAGTAAAATACATATTTATTCTCTTTATTTTAGATTAAATAAATATATTATAGGAGTAAACATGTCTTTATCCTCTTCATAACAGATAACTCATATAAAAATTAATCTGATTTCTTAAATTATCATTATTTGGAATTTAATGTTAAGAATAAAAATGATCGTTAAAGAACTACCTCAGTTAAATGAATAAATATTTTTAAAATGTCAATATTAAATGGAGCAAAATTAATCAATATTTACTTGTATTTGAGATCGACAAACATAAATACTTAACTTTGCTTCTATTTATAGTACTCACTTTTCACTCTTTGTTAAAAATGCAATGACACACTATTCATTTTTCTCAATTTGTAGAGAAATAAATAAAATAAAAAGTACAAAGCTCGCAACCATTTTTATTTTTCTCGTCTCTCATTGTTATTCCTTTGTCACATATTCACTTTTTTTTTCTTCTCTTTCTTTCTATTTTTTCTTTCTCTGATCTATTTTAACTCTACCGAACAAAGTGTAAGTATTTTTTCTATCTATTTTTTTTTCTCAATTCTACCAAAATCAGTTACAAAACTACGTTGAAGGCAAAAGTACGAAAAAGTTGTTTCAACTTGTTTAATTTCTCATCATAATTTTAGGGGTTGGAATTTGATTCCAGGACACATATCAACAATTCTAACATGGATTCTTTATGTATTACCGTTGAATTTGAATAAAAATATTAATTGTTATATTCAGCTCCAACGGTTTAGACATTATAGAAGGGTAAATTTTAGTTAAAGTTTATAGGTGTTTTTGTTGGTCATTCATGAAGTAAAATTTTATATCATAAAAGTCAAAATAGAAGTAAAATTATAATTCTGATTTGTTCACCGTAAAAGATAAAACTTATATATATATATATATATATACACACTTATTTAGGTGCCCGTTGTTCTTCATTCAAATTGTAATTTCACATCAATAATTTACATTATAATTAAAGATTTAATTATCCTTTTAATCTTTAAAATTTTATAATTTTTTACTTTTAAGTTTTTATAATTAAAAAAATTTCATCGTAACTTGTATATATATTATACAGAAGGACATGATAAGTGAATTAAGCTAAAGATTCTTCGACATATCCGAATACTTAACATAGTAGAGTAAACTATGAAGCTATGACTAATTTGAGCATTAAAGTGTCTTTTGCATGTAAATCCTTTTTTCCATATTCAAAAGAGTATAACAAAAAGTCATTGGATTGGCAGAGTACATGAAGTAGTAGACATCTGGACAAAGACAGCTAGGAGAAGATTGAAGTAATGAATTACTCATGTACCCCTGTGTAGGTACATTTGCCATTTTTGTTTCCTTTAGTCTTTGTAACCTATTATTATAGAGATTAAAATATAAAGTCAATAAAACTATACAAATTAAAAGAAAATAAAATGACAAATATAAAGATGAAAATGAAATATTTTTATTTATTAAAACTAAAATAAATTTTATAAAATTATAGAAATAACAAAAATAATCAAACCCACAGTAAAATATTTCATTAGGAATCAACATAAATTATCAAATATCTATAATAATAATTAAAAAAAGTTGACTATGTACAGAGTCCACAAAAATCTCCAATTCCCTCACGCAATAAACGGATGGCAGATGATAAACACACCTCCACTCTCATATAAACACACCCCCTTTCTAAAAAAAAATATATAAAATATCTAAATTACCCTTAAAAAAAATAAAAATTCCTAAATTTACATACCTTCCCCACCTCCTTCCCGCACCCCACACCCCCCGTTCTCCCGCACCCCAGGCCACTGTAGAGAAACTGGAGCATGAGGAGGAAGACCTCGGAGCCGACGGAGTTGACGGGTATGACTCCGGAGCGCGAGTTGATCCTTGGGCCGGTGGGGTCCAGGCCAGAGGGTGGGTCCGGCCCACAGAAGAATTTCCTGAAGAAGAGGCTCCGCGCGGCCAGTATGCAGCGGTGCGCGTGAACCAGACGTCCCTCCACGCTGAAAGTGACGTCGCTGAAGGCCTGGCCGTTGATGAGGAGGTTCAGGTAATCCAGCGGCAGAGATCTTAGCGACTCTTCAAGGGACATGGTGATGCTACTGCTACTGCTATGCTTCTACTGTTACTGTTTCTTACCTGTTCCTGATAAATTTACTGTGCTGTCGTCTCAACGCTCTAGGGTTCTATCTTCTAACTTATTGCTTGGGGGTGTTTAAGGGAAAAGTGAGAGAGATGGAATAGTGAGAAGAACAAGAACAAGAACACCAAGGAAGAGGTTGGTTCATGTTCATCCCTTTATTGATGATGATGCTACTGTGCTTGTTTTTATGGGATTCGCTCGCTCGCTCGATGCTCTATGGTTTGGGATTGCAAATGTATTTTTCATAGATATTTTTGGTGTGAGAGATAGAGAGAGAGAGGCCTGGGAAGAGAGAGAAACAAAGATTGCAATTTGGGTGGCTATTCTGGGCGGCTCGGGCTGTGGGGGTGCGGGGAAGGGGGTGTGGGGTGTGGGGTGTGGGGTGCGGGAACGGAGCGCAGGGAAGGGAGGTGTAAATTTAAGAATTTTATTTTTTTTAAGGGTAATTTAGACATTTTATATATATTTTAAAAAAAAAGGGTGTGTTTATACGAGGGTGGAGGTGTGTTTATCATCTGCCTAAACGGATCAGTACAGCATGACACATGGAGTCCAAAATAAAATTTATAAAAAATTACTTTGGGCCTTAAGCAAGACAGAGTTAGTTAGAGCCTAGGTTATTTGGGCTTCTCATGGGCCGTTTAATTATGCGGACCAAGTAATTAATTATTATTTTTGTTTATGAACTGGTCATTGACTCTGATGATTCATTGTAGCTGAAGAACCAAAGGAAAGAGAATAATACCAACCTCCCTAGTCCCTCCTCACCGTTTCAGCGTTACCATTACCCAATCACTGTGCTTTGTCACACCAAATCATAATTATTAATCAGTCCCCACCTTTGTCTAAAGTCACAAGCAGGTTTATGCATAACAACACTATGATAAGGAAAATTCTTACAAAAATTTGTTGCACTCAAGTAAAATGTATTGGGTAATAAATTATTGAGACATCAGACATCGTTGATTTTTTGGTAATTGATTATTCATCATATTCTATTGGTATAATAGACTAACCTAAGTCCATTAAGTTCGTGCAAATATTTCTATTTTCAAGTGAACAAATCAGATCATTATATCTGAAAAACCAGACCAGTGGGTTAGTTTAACTTAAGCAGATTATCGTCCTAATTTTACGGGCCACATATTTGTTCATTTAGGTCGCTGCCACAAAACATTTTGGCACATTTGTTTTGGTAGCATTAGCGTGGTTCGGTGATTGATTTGGTTCAACTCTAATTGAAGCAATCATGACAACATTTGACTTTTTAACTAAAGATTTTCATCATGTCTCACATAAGTCAGGCTGTCTAACACGCTAGCTATAGCACCTAGTCAACTTCTTTAAACAAACCTACAAAATGGAATATGAAAGCAGTGTATCATCAAAAGTCAATATAATTTAGGCCAAGTTCAGTAAACAAGGAGGGTATATTTGCAAACCCAATACACATACATGTAGAAAAAATAATCCAACCATCAAGCATTTGTACATTACACAATAAGACGTCCAACTCAAATTCTATCGAAACGGGTTTCGAAGCTTATAAATTATAGATTCATAGGCTATAATATGGCTCAATTTTTAATTAACTAATACATTAGAAAGGATGCCGACATAACGGCGAAGCACTCGAGAGAAAAATAACAGCAAGTACTTGTAAAATTATCATGGAAGCAATGATAACAAAGAAATGATAACGGATAAGAAGTCAATCCACAATGAGGATAAAAACAGATTCTCGATCTTTTATAGTCAGGGTGTAATGGCATAGGATTCCCGGGCATATTTTTACAAACATTCTCACATAAAATTTCAAGTTTCGTCATGATTATATAATACCAAAAAATATAGCATATAAAAGTTGCTAAGTGCTCGTGTCATACTGCATTAAGAGTGCAACACACCTATTCACTAGAAGTATGCCACAGATGAGAAGACAAATTTTCGTCCATCTTCTCTTTGCATGGCTTCTGCTTGCAGCTTCTGCACTCAATCATGTCACTACCAGTGTTCAGCATATGCAGTCAGGTATTTCACATTCTCCTGCAAATACCTCTGGAACTATTTTCTTCTGTCTGCCTAATTTGTTAAGCACAAACGGATGACTCCGCAATGGTCATTGCGACCAATTGTAATTTGTATCTCACGTCACTAAATTTCTACATTCAGTTCATTTCAAGCTCAGAACCCTACAGGCTAGCCCAAAGCCGCAAACTGAACATGGCATGTTTCCATGGGTTAGTAAATACATCAATCGTGTTTCTATTTATATTTTCAATCATTTTACTTAATTTGTATTACAAAATTCTGATTTGAACAGCAAAAATCACAGGTTAAAGAAGAGAAGAAACGTAAAAGCCCATCAGCGCCAAACCCAATAGGGAATCAACGCCCACCATCTAAACCTTAGTGATGGAAACAGTCGTTCGGCATCAGCATTCTGTAGACATCAATAGCTAGCCGTTTGGGATCAATGGATGTAGACTCGCAATTCTGCTTTTAGGAGCATTGTGTTTGTACAAAATGGTACTTAATGGAATATTCGTACTTTACAAAATTATTTCATTGACGTTTCTAAGAGGCAAGCAATTCTCGATTTATTAACTAACCAACTAGTTAAATTTGTTGAACACTGTCTACAATACACATGATGAAAAACAGGCAGTATAATTAACATTGAACACCTTTAAGCTAAAATATCTTCCTTAATTTTAGGCCTCAACTCTGATTTTGGAGCACTCTTTCATTTTATAACAATGAATGAGTGAAACATCATCATCCCTCGACTAGATTTTAACATTAAGGACAACTATTAGCAGATTCCGTTCAACAATATCATTTCCATAGGCTGATATGCAGGACTACTGTGCTGTAAGCAGCCTTCCCGTCTCTATGTAATGCAACTTTTTGCGCTCCCTAGTTTCCGGGGGAAAAAATACTGAATGAAATTAAACACAGATCACAAGACAAATCGCTTTAGCTAACATAAACGAAACAAATATATTTTGCTGGATTAAATTACATACATTTAATTAATTGCCAACCCAAAAATGGTATAATCTCTTGAGATTATACAAACTCACTATAAGCTACCAACAACCGTATGTGGTCCTTTATACAGCACGCTTCCGCTTGGAACGCTTGCTTCTTCTTTCCCTAGAATAATTGTTAAGCTCTTCGCCAACTTTTGAATCATATTCTTCTTCTTC